ACTTTCTACTTGGAAAATCTATAGCACTGATCATAATTACAAATGTACAGATACATAAAATACTATTATGGTAAAAATTGAAATGTTCATATAAGAGCAGATTCCTTAGCAATTTTCTTGGTCAAATTAACTCACCCAACAGAATGCCTGAGTCTCCAATGAAGGCGGCACTTTTTATTTCCCCTCCATTAGCTGGCAAAGGATCGGAGTATTCTTCTGATGGTCCCAACTCACTCATAAAATGCTGAAACAAAACCAGAAGTATATATATGACTTGTAAAATCAGAATGAAAAGGGAGGTGCTTTATAAACATAACAAAATTAGATATATCATGAACAGTATCATGACAAATTAATAGTTTCTTCTTTGGATTGTTACATATTTTTCATGGATTTTTTTTATGTCACTTGCAACCATTATATCAGTAACATAACATAATATTTTAGATAACAACCCTACCGTCTGTGTATTTTTCTTTATCAAGAGTACTGTCAGAACAGTACTGTACTGACTGAGTAATATCGTGCATACATGTATATATGTAACACCAACCTTCTGTGATTTTTCTAAAAGCAACATCGAGATCACATGATTGATTGCTCCCTGTACATGTCGTGTACTCTCGTTAAAGTCTAACGGTAAACAGTAAACAAGTATCTTCTACTTTCATTTTGTTGACATAGGGGCATGTAATACAGCTGTAATGTAAACAACTAATAGGTCAACAAAATGTTGGTTTTATTAAGATTAAAGATAATAATTGATATGTATTTGCTGCTTGCACACCCGCAACACTTTATATGCGTATGAATTAAACCAGCAGAACACAAGACATCAAAATACGAAATGATGATTCCGCTGTGCATGCCCTGTGTTGGACCGACAGCTCTTATGTTTACACAGTGTCATAACAAGTTTTGCTCGAGACATATTAAAAACATATGAATGAAATTGAGGATTATGTGAGTATTAAAATATTGCCTGTTTGGTCAACCATATACTCTGCTTTACTACATTATATTTTCTAATATCGGAATATAAACATACCTTTGAACAAACGAACTTTTGTCGATCTATATCTGTTGCGTTAAGCTGCGAATGGGGTCGTCCACATGCCTTCACCCATCTCAGGCATGTTTCTAGGTTGGTTTTAGGGTTTTGGAAAGGGAATAAATGTCACACCGTTCTCCAATCTTTCTGCATATTGGCTGTCGCAGTTGCAGGTTCCCCAGGAGCACTTCTTCACCATTATTTCACTGCAGTTCGTATTTACCCTCGTGTCAATGTCGGACAAAGTTGTCGGAGGTAATGGCCGACAATCGAACTCGCGCTCTGATTGGCTGAATTTGTATAGCAACCGCGTTGCTAACAATGATGTGGAAGGGTGAATTAAACAAGGAGTCAATTGACCAAAGGTCAAGGTCACTGGGTCAAAAGTGAAGGTTAAATTTTGTATCTTTTCCCTGATGAACATTTTGTTATGACATTATGAAGCACAGAGTCAACTGACCTTAGGTCCAGGTTACGGGGTCCAAAGGGTCCAGGTCAAGTTTTGTATTTAATTTTTCACTGATGAACATTTTGTTATGATATTCAGGAGCAAAGTTGGTCGGAATTAAAGAACAAGTCAAGTGACCAAAGATCAGGATCACTGGGTCAATGGTCAAGGTCATTTGGGTCCAAAGGTCAAAGACAAAGTGGATCTCTGACTTTGACCCTGGCTCTTGATGGAGGAGGTATATAAGGTGAAATAAAACAAATCAAAGCTAACAAATGAGTATTGCACCGGTATTTACATTTCTGTTAGCCCAGCAAATATGGAGGTGGAAGGAAACAAGACTCACATCATAGTACATGTAAAATGTATATTTTGCTTCCTTGCGATTCTTTTTGAAGTCCCAATATCAAACATCAAGCTCAGCTATATGGGCAGATTGCTTCTTGGTGATTATGGGGGATATATTGCCACAAGATGGGGCCCTTACTGACCTGTCAGTGTTCTAGTTTTAATGTATTTTGCTTTATTTTTTCCCTGCTAAAACATAATATTCTAACCCTTAAAAGGCAACAGTCGTTATTTTCGGAGATGATTCCGTTATTCTTACAGGGAGCGAAAAATATCTAGATGAAGTAGAGGTTCCAATGAACATACTCTTTAAAGGTCACAGGGGTCAAATGTCTTAAAATCTTTAAACAACTTCTCATTAACCAAAAGGCCCAGGGTACTGATTTTGGGCATGTGGCATGCTGGGATAAAGCGCTACCAAGTTTGTTTCAGGAATGACATTGACCCACTTTCAAGGTCACTGGGGTCAGATGTCTTTAAATCTTCAAAAGACTTCTACTTAATAACCAAAAGGCCCATGGTTCTGATTTTTGGCCTGTAGCATGCTGGGATGAAGGGCTACCCAGTTTGTACAAATGAATGTCCTTGACCCTCTTGAAAGGTCACAGGGGACAAATGTCTTCAAATCTTTCATCAACTTCTCATTAACCAAAAGGCCCAGGGTACTGATATTGGGCCTGTAGCATGCTGGGATGAAGGGCTACCAAGTTTGATCAAATTAATGACCTTGACCCTCTTTCAAGGTCACAGGGATCAAATGTCTTTAAATCTTCAAACAACTTTTGCTTAATAACCAAAATGCCCAGGGTACTGATATTGGGCCTGTAGCATGCTGGGATGAAGGGCTACCAAGTTTGTACAAATGAATGTCCTTGACCCTCTTGAAAGGTCACAGGGGTCAAATGTCTTCAAATCTTTCATCAACTTCTCATTAACCAAAAGGCCCAGGGTACTGATATTGGGCCTGTAGCATGCTGGGATGAAGGGCTACCAAGTTTGTACAAATGAATGTCCTTGACCCTCTTTAAAGGTCACAGGGGTCAAATGTCTTAAAATCTTTAAACAACTTCTCATTAACCAAAAGGCCCAGGGTACTGATTTTGGGCATGTGGCATGCTGGGATGAAGGGCTACCAAGTTTGTACAAATGAATGTCCTTGACCCTCTTTAAAGGTCACAGGGGTCAAATGTCTTAAAATCTTTAAACAACTTCTCATTAACCAAAAGGCCCAGGGTACTGATTTTGGGCATGTGGCATGCTGGGATGAAGGGCTACCAAGTTTGTACAAATGAATGTCCTTGACCCTCTTTAAAGGTCACAGGGGTCAAATGTCTTAAAATCTTTAAACAACTTCTCATTAACCAAAAGGCCCAGGGTACTGATATTGGGCCTGTAGCATGCTGGGATGAAGGGCTACCAAGTTTGATCAAATTAATGACCTTGACCCTCTTTCAAGGTCACTGGGATCAAATGTCTTTAAATCTTCAAACAACTTCTGCTTAATAACCAAAAGCCCCATGGTTCTGATTTTTGGCCTGTAGCATGCTGGGATGAAGGGCTACCAAGTTTGTACAAATGAAGGACATTGACCCTCTTTAAAGGTCACAGGGGTCAACTGTCTTAAAATCTTTTAACAACTTCTCATTAACCAAAAGGGCCAGGGTACTGATATTGGACATGTGGCATGCTGGGATAAAGCGCTACCAAGTTTGTTTACATGAATGACATTGACCCACTTTCAAGGTCACTGGGGTCAGATGTCTTTAAATCTTCAAAAGACTTCTCCTTAATAACCAAAAGGCCCATGGTTCTGATTTTTGGCCTGTAGCATGCTGGGATGAAGGGCTACCAAGTTTGTTCAAATGAAGGACCTTGACCCACTTTCAAGGTCACTGGGGTCAGATGTCTTAAAATCTTCCAACAACTTCTCAATAACCAAAAGGCCCAGGGTACTGATATTATGCCTGTAGCATGCTGGGATGAAGGGCTACCAAGTTTGATCAAATGAATGACCTTGACCCTCTTTCAAGGTCACAGGGATCAAATGTCTTTAAATCTTCAAACAACTTTTGCTTAATAACCAAAAGGCCCATGGTTCTGATTTTTGGCCTATAGCATGCTGGAATGAAGGGCTACCAAGTTTGTTCAAATGAAGGACATTGACCCACTTTCAAGGTCACTGGGGTCAAATGTCTTAAAATCTTCCAACAACTTCTCAATAACCAAAATGCCCAGGGTACTGATATTGGGCCTGTAGCATGCTGGGATGAAGGGCTACCAAGTTTGTACAAATGAATGTCCTTGACCCTCTTTAAAGGTCACAAGGGTCAAATGTCTTAAAATCTTCCAACAACTTCTCATTAACCAAAAGGCCCAGGGTACTGATATGGGGCCTATGGCATGCTGGGATGAAGGGCTACCAAGTTTGTTCAAATGAATGACCTTGACCCACTTTCAAGTTCAAAAGGGTCAAATGTCTTGAAATCTTTAAACAACTTCTCAATAAGCAAAAGGTCCAGGGTACTGATATTTGGTCTGTTGCATGCTAGGATGAAGGCGTCATATGTTTAAATCTTTTAATAGGTTCTTATGAATCAAACACTGATATTCTGCCTGTAGCTTTATTTTAGTCCACTTTTAAGATTACAAGTGTGAGATAAATACCAGGTGAGGGATGCAGGCCCTTTGGACCTCTTGTTTATTGTGCACACATCGTTCACACACCATGCACACCGCACATCGTGTAACGTTGTGCGATCCCACAACTGTAGTTTCTGTAAGGAAAATGAAGAACAAAGAAGGCAAAATGTCATCTTTTGTAGATTTGATAAAGATCCTTTGATGGTGGGCGCCAAGATCCTTCTAGGATCTCGCTTGTTATAGTTGTCAAAATAGGTGGTAAAATAAGGTAATGTTAAGTAGTTATTACATTGAAACAATTAATAGAATCAGTTGTACATTCCATAGATTACATAAGCAGGAAAAGAAAAGATATTAACCGAAAAGCAACATAAAGCAAGGTGATATTAAGTGAAACCTACTGTAATACAGCAGCCTGGTCACTCATTAGTACTACTGGCTAGTAAATAATAAACTGTTGACTTGACAATAATTCTGGCTGGTCTTGCATTAACACTGTCACTTTCTTTGCAGTGTCTGCTGAGAGGTATGACCCAGAGGCAGACTCAGATGAAGGTGAAGATAAGGTCAGTATATAAATTGTTAAAAACATGAAAGCAGAAGGTAAATATTAATTCTGAGTTGTAAAAAAAGACCAGTTTTGTCACATAACAGTGTGAAATGACCTTTGGTCAAACTGGACTGTGGCTATTTTAAATTTTTGATACCTTTTCTGTCTGTGTTTGTTTATAAAGACTACCTAATTAGCTTGCAAATTGGTATGGATTTATACACTGCTTTTAAAATTGGCAAGAAATCATGCACACAAGTGCAGTCCAAACATTCATTAGGCTATTTGTCAAGCATCAACTGTTCCAAAAAAGGTATTTGTCAAGCATCAACTGTTCCAAAAAAGTCGAGGAAGCTATTTCAAGCATTGTCAATAATTGTCTTTCTTTGAGTCTCTCTTTTTAGCTCACCTGCCTGGAATGGCCAAGTGAGCTTATGCCATGGTGCGCCGTCCGTCGTTCATCAGTCTGTCGGTGGTCCGTCCGGCATCCGGCATCAATATTTTACTTTAAACAACTTCTTCTCAATAAACAAAAGGCCTAGGATGATGATATTTGGCCAGAAGCAAACTGGGATGAAGTGCTACAAAGTCCGTTCAAATGAATGACCTTCACCTATATGCAAGGTCACAGGGGTCAAATATGTTAAAACTTTAAACAACTTCTTCTCAATAACCAAATTACCCAGGGTGATGATATTTAGTCAGTAGCATACTAGGATCAAGGGCTACCAAGTTTGTTTAAATGTATGACCTTGAATCATATTCAAGGTCACAAGGAGCAAATATGTTCAAAATATTTAAACAACTTGTTCTGAATAACCAAAATGCTCAGGATGTTGATATTTAGTCAATAGCATGCTGGGATCAAGGATTACTATGTTTGTTAAAGTGAATGACTTTGACTTATTATTCTAATCGCTTTCCGTCCGTCGTCCGTCGTGCGTAAACTTTTTACATTTTCAACTTCTTCCCAAGACCCAGTGGATGGATTTTTTTCAAACTTGATGAGAATCATCCTTGGTAGATGAGGCTACAAAATTGTAAAATTGGGATTCCTACCCCAACCCCTGGGGCCAGGGCGGGGCCCCAAAAGGAACATTTACCAATATTTTCAAATTCTTATCCTTTGATGACAGGACAAGTATTGTATTTCACTTAGTACCTATGATATAACTCAGGTGACCGCTAAGGCCCTTGGACCTCTTGTTTTCAAGGTCACAGGGGTCAAATTTGTTTAAATCTTTAAACAACCTCTTGTGAATAACCATGGGTCCTAGGGTGTTGATACTTTCCAAGTTGCATCCTGAGATGAAAAGCTATAAAATTTGTTCAACATAATGACTTTGTTTGACTTTCAATCACAGGGGTTACACGTCTTAAAAAAAAATACCAGGTTCTTTTAAATTAATTTTAATCATAAATACTGATATTTTGCCTCTAGCTTTATTATAGATCACTTTAAATGTTACAAAAGTGAGATTTATACCAGGTGAGCGATGCATGCCCATTGGGCCTCTTGTACTGACAATGGGTAAGCCAGTTATTGGCTAATTCAACTCCGCTGTTATATATACAGTACACTTCAGGTGATTTGGTACAGAAACCCCGCACGGGCAACAGTCGTCGCGCAGGTGAAGGGGATTAAAGCCCCACCGAGAAATCACCTGAGCAAAGTCGCGGGGGGCTGCCCACCATGCGCGGATGAGCGTTGGGGATTAACTTGTCGATCAGCAGCTAACTAATGTACTGTACATTGAATAGCACTGACAGTCCAGAATGCCCGAATGCTATATTTATATGCTGTATGCACGACTATTTCATGCAATACAATATAGTAGTAGAACGTGGTACGTCCGAAAAATATCATTTACGTTCACGTCAGGTATCAGGTGGAAATCGGTCTGAATAAAACAATTATGTAAGTTAACAATAACTAACGTCTCTGAGTAACATGAGGCTATCTTTCAGTTGTTTAAGCAGCACATGGTGTTTTGGATGGTCAGCTATTTGCACCAACCATTCTTGCTATATTTCGTATTCGAAGTCAGAAGGTTGCATAAATTCACGAAAGAAAATCAGCTGCTTTCGACGACCTAGTTACATGTACAGGTGGCGCTGTTTATGTACATTACGTAATGCGATAAGTGACACAGGTATCAATATCGGGTGAGGCAAATTTAATACTGCACCGCTAATACAGATAGCGATTGCCACAGTAAATTTTTTATCAGGGGTGATAATTTCAACACAGCTTATTGACATAATAAGTGACACAAGAAACATTATCCTAAAACAAAGACAAGGAATCATAACATGTTTACCTAAAGGAGAAAAACCTAGACAATTTTTAAAGAACTGGAGACCAATATCCCTTTTAAATGTAACTTATAAAATTGCATCAGGCTGTATAGCAAGTAGAATAAAAGCAGTGTTAGGTAAATTAATTGATCCAGATCAGACAGGTTTTATTTCTGGGCGATATGTGGGAGAAAACACAAGGTTGATATACAATATTATGGATTACGCAGAGAGAAATGATATACCAGGGATGGTATTGATTATTGATTTTGAGAAAGCTTTCGATTCTGTATCTTGGAAATTCATTGATGAAGTACTAAACTATTTTAAATTTGGGGAAGAGGTTAGAAAATGGATAAAAGTTTTACATAAAAATGCAGTTTCTTCAATAAATCAGGGGGGAAATTTATCAGAATTTTTTGAAATAAGAAAAGGCTGTCGTCAAGGAGACCCTATTGCACCATATATATTTATAATGTGTGCAGAGATATTAGCGATAAGAATTAGAAACAATAAAAAAGTAAGGGGTATCAATATAAATGACTGTCCTATTTTAGTATCACAGTATGCTGATGATACCTCGTTGATTTTAGATGGTACAAACATTTCCCTAAAAGAAGCAGTTGGTGAATTAAATAATTTTGCAAAAATTTCTGGGTTGAAAATAAATAAATCAAAATCTCAGGTAATATGGATAGGAAGTAAAAAGCATAGTGAGGAAGTTCTTTATCCAGAATGGAAATTACAGTGGGGAAATAAAACTTTTAATCTTTTGGGGATAGAATTTCATGTAGACTTGCATAAAATTACTAGGCTGAATTATGATAAAAAGTTAGTAAAAATAAAGGCACTTATAAATACATGGAATAGGAGAATAATTACACCAATTGGTAGAATTTTTATCATCAAATCAATACTCATCTCACAACTCAATCACTTATTTATTGCATTACCAAACCCAAATGAATGTTTTATTAAAAAATTAAACACCGAACTATTTAACTTCTTATGGAAAAGCAAAGTTGACAAAACCAAAAGAGACATTGTTATAAGAGACTATATTGATGGTGGATTGAAAATGATGCATGTGATGTCTTTTATAGAATCCTTAAAATTAAC